ACTTTTGACTACAGCGCTTTTAATTCTCTTATGTTCTGTGCGTCACCTGTTTGGGTCCCTTCCGCTGCCGTTTCCGCTTAGTTACTCTACCAGTGGCGGCTCTACCTAAGGTTTGCAGGTTTGCACAACCCCCAAAAAAATCACCCAAGAAGAAAGAAATAAATTTTGATTATAATAATATCATCGATATATATTTTTTTTATTTTCTTAGTAACTTTCTTGTTATAACACTATAGTTTCCAAGCAAATAATTAAATTTCCCGCTTGGCGCTTCGTATCGGTTCATTGATCGATGCCCGAATACCACGCCAGTGTATAATTGTTGAGGCTAACTGGTGTGTTTTAAGGTCGCAAACCATTACAGGCTATCGAATGGGCGTGTTGGGACCACGTGATTAAATTACGTTCAATATCATTGGTTTAATTAGATCGAAAGTGATTGCAGGACAAATGCAACATTTAGTGTGAATCGTGTTACGTATTTTTGCCAGGCCGCGTTAACATTAACCTTCTTTATCTCTGGTTAACATTTCCGCTGCGTTTTTAATATTGTTTGTATGTATTTCTTATAATAATAATAATTAATTCAGTTGAAAGTTTATTAGAAAATCCCTTCGGTAGTCGGTCGATCGATATAAAGAGGCTTGGAAGACCTACTCCAAATTTAAACATCGTTCAATGTGTGTCCAGTAAAAGCCGGTCTTTTACTAGAAAATTTAATTTAGATATATATAATAAACAATATATTAACTTAAAACTCTAAATTAGAGTCTCTAATAGTAATTAGAGTCATATTTAAAATTTAAATTTTATATTTTTATAATTTAAATTTTTATGACCCAATTTATTTTTTAAAGCGATCTTGGCTTTGCACATCTCTTGTAATATCTACACCTTTATATGGGTGCAACCCCAGATTTTTTAGGTCACGAGCCGCCACTGTACTCTACTAATTATATTGAAAATTTTTATTAATTTTACCGCAATGAAAACAACTTCCTACAAAAGTACCTAAATATTGTACTTTTGTAGGAACTTGTTTTCATTGCGGTAGAAGTTTAATAAGAAATTATTTTATTATAATACCTATTAATAATTGTATGCTACTTAACAAAAATGCATACATATTAAGTTATAATCTACAACCTTCCTCCATGTTTGTCCAATTACCTATTAAATATAAATTGTTAAAACAAAATCTGAGGGTTTCATTTATTTGTTAACAGACACATAACCAAAATATTAACATATGTTACCGCTAAAAATGTGCGGTCGCTTTTTCAGTAACCAAACAACCAAGTTTCAGGAAAATTTTGACAATTGACACCTGCTGTAAAAACCTTGTTGCCAATATTAGAATAAGAACTTTTAGTACTATTGTGTTCTGTGGCCATTACAATCTATGTTACCGACGCATTGTACAGTTATCGCATAATACCCGGACAACAATCGGGATTTCCTGGTGAAGTCATGATGATATCACAACGTGATTTTTTTTATCACGCTGTGATATCCTGAAGTGCATACACATGCTTCATCACAGTGATATCATGTAGAACTCACGGTGTGATATTTGCAAAATTTGCGCATGCCTATGAGCCCTACGAACTGCGAATTTAAAACCTAGTTTGTTATTCACATTACACCGTTAAAATTTATAAAACGTTGTTTGAATATCACGAATGTTGTCCGGGTTCAATTAAAAAAGATATTTCAATGTTTAACGAAACGTAAAGGTTTTGTTAAACATTGGAATATCTTTTTTAATTGAATGACAACATTCGTGATATTCATACGAACATCCTGTCGTAATTTTCACAAATTTTATTCATGCTGATATGATACGGAAGTAACCGCGTGATAAATGAAAATAATACAAACGTCATGTCGTTATTTTCACAAATTTTATTCATACGGACATCATCCGGATGTCACTGCGTGAGAAATGAAAACCATGTCGTGATTTTTATGCCATCGCTGTTTGCGATTGACGGATGGCCAAAAAAATCATGTCGTGATTTTTTATTCCAAAGGTGTTTGGATAATCATTTTTGCGCCACGTTCGTACATTGTGAGAAAATGTATGTTAACAATTGAATTAACAGTTTTTGCGGTTAAATACATTTAATATTTTCTTGAATGTAAATTAACTATTAATTTAAATCCAAAAAATATTGAATGTATTTAACGACAAAAACTGTTGATTCAATATATATGTAAGTATACTTTTTCTCTCAATGTACGAATGTGGCGCAAAAATAAATATCCAAACACCGATGGCATAAAAAATTACGAAATGATTTTTTATGCTATCGGTGTTTGGGCATAAAAAATCACGACATGATTTGTTATGCCATCCCTTGCGGCCTTGAGTTCACGGTTTATTCACCGTGAATTCACTGTGAATAAACCGTCTGTTTGTGACATTTGCAAACGGTAGTTCGGTGAATTCACGCACTTTTCATAGTATTTTAATTGTGAGTTCACTGTATTTTGGCGGTATTTTCACGGTGAATTCACGCACTTTTCACAGTATTTTAATTGTGAATCCACCGTATTTTGGCGGTATATTCACGGTGAATAAACTATGAACTCAAGGCCGCAAGGGTAGGTATATCCTATAGGTTTAACACAATCGACTATAGCTAGCCATTATTCGTTACTGAGCAGATGAGGATGGAGATGGGGACTTCAAACAATTAATGTTCAGCTATGCCATTACAGACGCACACTTTCAACTAAATATTGCAACCCAACGCTATTTATAGTTGGCTCGCTTGCGTAAGCAGCCGTGAGATGTATTGCTTAAACCGCTTAACACAGAAATCGACTAATAAAAAAAACCGCTAATAAATGGCGTCCAACTTGTTGTTTTTTTCTTTATGATAGCGTCACAACCTCGTTGATTTTGCGCAGCTACACGAGAGCCCTCTTGCGATATTTGTATTGTATTGGGAATAACCAATTAGCAGATTGTTCGAATCTTACACTTACAATTTGCGGTGTTTTCACAGTAAACTCACAACGCTTTTACGGTAATTTCACGATAAATTTACGGTACTTTCACAGTGAATTTGCGGTGATTTTGCAAACTTGAGTTCACCGTGAATTAACCGTGAAATCACCGTGAATTTATCACAAAAACAGCGTGAGTTCACAGTTTAATTACCGTCTACAAATGTCACAAATGGACGGTATATTCACTGCACATGTGCATAAACGGTGTATTCACATATGCATAAACGGTGTATTCACGGTGAATTCACGCAAACGGTGAATTCACCGTAAACTCAAGGCCGCAAGGGATCGTTGCACCGACAAGTTTGGATATTTATTTTTGCGCCACATTCGTACATTGAAAGAAAAAGTATGTTAACAATTGAATTAACAGTTTTTTACGGTTAAATACATTTAATATTTTCTTGGATGTAAATTAACTACCCTGCTTAAAATACCCCATAGAGAACCTGTTCAAACCGATAGATATTTGTATCGGGATGTATGGTGTTTCTATAGGGTGTATCGGTTTGTATAGGACCCGTAGTTGAGATTTATGGTTGTTCTATAGGGATATCCACCATTGATTTATTTGCTATCGGTTTCAATGGGGAAAATACACATAAATGTAGAAATTAGTTTTTTCCCTATAGGACCCTATAGGTTTTAATAAAATTTTGTCAAATGTTTTATGGTTGCTCTATAGGGATATCACTATATATCCTTCATTGAGTTATTTTCTATCGGTCTCAATAGGGAAAATGTAAAAGTTATGGTGTGCCTATAGGTAATTTCCTATACATTTTCTATCGGGCTGTATCCGGAAAAACCCATGGACAAATGCACATATAGAATCCGGTAGCGCCCGATAGATTATTTTGTATAGGTCTCTATGGGGTATTTTAAGCAGGGTATTAATTTAAAATATTGAATGTATTTAACCATAAAAACTGTTGATTCAATATATACATATATATATATATATATATGTATACTTTTTCTCTCAATGTACGAATGTGGCGCAAAAATAAATATCCAAACACCGATGGCATAAAAAATCACATGATTTTTGAAAGAAAAAGTATGTTAACATTTGAATCAACAGTTTAACATTCAATATTTTCTTGGATTTAAATTAACTATATATAGTAAATTTAAATCCAAGAAAATGTTAAATGTATTTAACCGCAAAAACTGTTCATTCAACTTAATTTTTCTCTTAGTGTACGAACGTGGCGCAAAAATGATTATCCAAACACCGTTGGCATAAAAAATCACGACATGATTTTTTAGGCCATCGGTCAATCGCAAACAGCGATGGCATAAAAAACACGACATGATATTCATTTCTCACGCAGTGTCATCCGGATGATGTCCGTATGAATAAAATTTGTGAAAATCACGACGTGACGTTCTTATGATTTTCATTTATCACGCGGTGACTTCCGTATGATATCAGTATGAATAAAATTTGTGAATATCACGACATGATGTTCGTATGAATATCACGAATGTTGTCCGGGTAATTATATTATATATTTGTTATATGTAATTAACATCATTATTTCTAACCTAAAACTCAAGTTAAAGCCGGTATTTTTTATAATATATCATAACTATTTAGTTTTGTAAGCAAAATTAAAAAAAAACTGGACTAATCTGTAGAAAAAAGGAGCCTACTCTTACAATTACCCCAGCCAATATACCAATGGAATTTTGCATTCAGTTATCACATTAGCACCAAATGGTGGGGCAAATGTGACATAGTGACATGTTTTTTTAAAAAGCACCATAACTTTTTTCTTTATATTGTCACCTTTTTCAATAATTGGCGCAATTTGTAACAAAACCATAAACCTACCTTATTTTTTGCAATTTTCTGCCTGCAATATTTACAACATTAAAGCTAATTCATATTGAACTATTCAAAAACTACATCACAATTACCCCCTACTTACCTTACCTAAATGGTCTGCCTTAAACATAAAATAAAAAATATGCCCTGCAAATATCGTATATGTATTTTAACACACAAAATTTACATATGACTAAAATCACTTAAATACTTTCTTATGTTAAATCCAAGCATTTTAGAAATTGTGTTTACAAACTCAAAATTAATATTACATTTATACTTTTGACCATCTAGAGAGCAATTATCGGAAATTGTAATTAGAAATTGCAATTCCACTAGGCTCGAAACTTGTACCAAAAGGTTGTTATTAAATCCAACTTTTTTATCCAAAATTGCATAAAATATGGCCAACAGCCGGTCAAAAGAAAACATTTTAGGTCCTAATTGGGTATTATAATGTTCACTTACTTTGCTTTTAAGTTTAACGTCTTTTATTGATTTTTTACTTTTTTCGTGAAATTTCATAAAAAGTCTTTTGTCATCTTTAACTGGATTATAACTTGCTAGGTAAGCTGCAATTAATAAAAATTTGGCATAGTAAGGAAGCTCTAAACTTTGGGCTAGCTTTTCTTTAGAAAACAAAAACTCCTTTGATTGAATTTCAACTGATTTTGCACTGTTTTTAATCAATACTCTTAGATAAAGCGTTTCTAAAGAACTTTTTAATAAAGGGGCCATATTTCTCCATAGAGTGACAGAATCGTTTATTGTATTTTCGTTTTGATTTATTGGGTCACAATACTTTATAAAGTTTACTTTAGACATATGTTTCAACTCTGCTAAATCCTTACATGCTCGAAAAAATACTGATAAAAAAACGTTTAAATAATTGTGATAAAAAGTTAAATCAAAATGAATGGGCTTTTGAAAATTATTTACTATTAAATGCTGTGCTTGATTATAATCCTTCTTCATAATTTCCAATAGTTGCTCTTTAGTATATTGTGGAAAATAAATTTTTATAGGTTCACAAACATTAGATCTAGAAACGTATTTTTCAAATAAAATTTCAGATACAAAAACAACACACAATGATATTCCTGTAAGTTCTTTTAATTTTAATAGTGCATTCAATAAATTTAAGTCCATGTCCCTTAATTCATCAACTTTATCAATTACCAGAACTGAACCATTAAGATTAATTATGGAAGATATTTTTTTTAACTGATAGGTAAATTCCATCAGGTTTTCACATTTTGTATAAGGTTGACCATTTAAAGGATATACATGAAGACCAGAAAACTTATTTAGAATTATTTCATAGAGATTTTTGGACGTATAGCACTCAATTATATTGATCATAACATAATTGATTTTTAAATTCTTTAGAACATGTTTAATAATTGATGATTTTCCAGTACTTGGACCTCCATAAACATATACACTACATGGATATGGTTCTTCTTTCGATTTAAAGAGATTTAAAAGTTGATCAATTTCATTTGACCTGCACGGAAAACATTCATTTGTATATAACTTCACATGTTTCAGGTTGGGCGACACTACAAAAAATAAAACATTTCAATGATTCAAAATTTGCAATAAAACTTTTTTTTAAGTTAGGCAGTTCATAAAAAACCATATTTACAAAAAATTAAACTGCCTATATAAAATACCTGTCAAATTGTAGTAAATTTTAATTAGGGGTCGTCCATAATACTAATAATTGAATGATCATACAAATTTAAGGTAGTTGTGCTAAACAATTTTTTTAACATTTTTTTATTTTTAAAACGAGTAAGTGTACCTAAAAAACAAGATTCATATTTTAGCCACTGGACTTCTACTCTAAATTTGGAAAACTTTAATATATATATTAGAAATTTTACGTTGAAACAACGTTTTTCCCACGTTGGAAAAACCTAACTTTTATGTATAATTTTATGTTGAAATGTCCCGGTTTATAACGTTACATGTCAACGTTAGTTTCTAATGTTATAAAAAACGTGGGATTTACGTATTATAAAACGTTGGAAATACGTGGGATTTATGTATTATAAAACGTTGGAAATATGTGGGTTTTATGTATCGTTGGAAATAACATAGTTACGTTAATTTTTATTTTTGAACAAGTAAATTGTGAATAAAAAAACTACAAGAGAACAAAAATGTATTTTCTCAAATTTCCTCCCAAGATTTTTAAAATATTTAACAGCAGAATAAATTGACATAAAATAGGATTCTTCTTTCTTTTCAGATGGAAGAATTATTCCAGTAAAATCCAGATTATCTTCTTCGAGCCAGTCTACTTGATCGCCTGTGAAAATCGCCATCATTTCTCGTTGCCGCTTTGCTGCTACTCTTATTGGTCCGATTTTTATTTATTCATTTTTTTTTCATCCTTCAATTTTTCCTTGTGTAAACAGACAGATTTAGAGGCCAGAATTTGTATACTGACGAACAAAATGAATCATAAGGAATAAGAGAGGGTTTATATAAAGTTTAGTTTGAAAAAAAAAACGAATTTCGGACGTCACATTCTCACGAACCTCTCCCCACCCCCTTGTCACGAATAGTCACGTTTTGCTATACCCCTCCTAGGGCGTGACGTCCTTTATGGATGACCCCTTATAATATGTAGGTATTAATTATTGTTGTTTTTATGTCAAGTGTATTTAATTTTAATATAATTACAATACTATATAATTATATTATACGTATGATGTATTACAGAAATAAGCAAACTATAACAAATGGTTTAACATTTTAATGAATATTTAAAAGTTAGTAATTATTACCATTATTGGTAAAACTCTTACTATTTATAACTAAAATACGCCCAATCAGTAAATTAAATTACGAAGCAAGATGGCATTTGGAATTTATAAAAGATCATATACGGACTGGTCCGTATTTGCAGCAGTAGTGAGGCTTACTCATTTAGTCAAAATACGCCTATTTTACACGTGGGTCAGAATTTCTCAAACGGGCCACCTGAATTAGGTCAAAATTAGTTTTTGTTTGTAGATACATTTTTTTGATAGTATTTTACATCACTAACACAAATCCTAAAGGATTTTGTAAAAAAAAAATTTTCAATTGACATATTCATGATATTAAAAGTCAAAGTTTTTAATAAATAAAAAATAAAAAAATTCATTATGGCTGAACTAATTATCCGATTCCAACGATATAACTAGCGTTGGAATCTTGTTTTGACATAGATTCTTTGTTATTTTTTTCAATTGTACAATTTTCATTTAGGTCGATTTTTTTTTGTTTTTTTATACCAAATTCGGAAATAATTGCCTTCTGCGCCAGCTATCGACTCGAGAAAAAAAACACATATACTCCAATCATTTCTCGAAATTATGCTGCTGAGAAAAAAAATGGCCCGCAGGTTGACAAAAAGTTATTCGTCCTTTTGTGGCCGCGCGCGGTGTCAGCTCACGCTCCGAACCGTGTACGCTGTACGCGCTTGTGACGCGACGTCTTACGGTGGTCTGGAACCTGCGGGCCATTTTTTTTCTCAGCAGCATAATTTCGAAAAATGATTGGAGTATATGTGTTTTTTTTTCGAGTCGATAGCTGGCGCAGAAGCCAATTATTTCCGAATTTGTTATAAAAAAAACAAAAAAAATCGACCTAAATGAAAATTGTACAATTGAAAAAAATAACAAAGAATCTATGTCAAAACAAGATTCCAACGCTAGTTAAATCGTTGGAATCGGATAATTAGTTTAGCCATAATGATTTTTTTTTATTTTTTAATTACTAAAAACTTTTACTTTTAATATCATGAATATGTCAATTGAAAATTTTTTTTTTACAAAATCCTTTAGGATTTGTGTTAGTGATGTAAAATACTATCGAAAAAATGTATCTACAATCAAAAACTAATTTTGACCTAATTCAGGTGGCCCGTTTGAGAAATTCTGACCCACGTACATACAAGGTGTAACAAAAGTATCAAATAATGGCTTTAACTCTGTTAAGGAAACTGTTTCCGACTAGTTGAAGACTGATTTCCCGTTCGGTAGTAACATTAACTATTCCAGTCTCTGACTATTCTGTCTATAACTATCAGGAATTCTTTACTTTTGGATTTCCCTTTAATAATAAAGACAATAATGAAAAAGCTGATTTATTCATTATACTATAATATATAAACTGCTCGTCATAAAAATCGACGCACCTAGTTTTTTGGAAAATATTTGAAAGCTCGTTATTAGAAAATTACTTAATCGATTTTGAAAATCTTTGGAAATTCTGAATAGCTGATTGTCTCTTATGTCTAATTTTGGAAATACGATATTTTGCACATAGCATAGTTATTCCCATTCATGAAGCTGTTGAGTTTGATAGTCGTAATACCCCTCCCTAATATAAGTAAGGTAATCCCTCGGAACGTTTTCGAGATTTTGTGAATATCGGGGCTTACTACGATTATATGCCAATTTTTCGAAAATTGTCGTTATTTCCCAGTTTAGTCCAAAAAATGAGCAATTGTGTATTCTTTGACTTACGTCTAATTTTGAGAATACGATATTGTGCACATAGCATTATACTACAGGGTGTTAAAAAAAGAGATGTTTTTTTCCAAAATTCCAAATCCCCATTCACAGGGCCGTTGAGCTTGATAGTCCTAATACCCCTTCCTAATAACAGTTAGGTAATCCCTCGGGACGTTTTCGAGATTTTGTGGATATCTTGGCTAACTACGATTATATAGCAATTTTTCGAAAATTGTCGTTATTCTCCACTTAATTCCCAAAAATAAGAAAACTACTAAAGGAATCGATTAGTTATCAACACATCGTTTCCCCAAATTGCATGTTCTTGTGCCCATCTTCTTTTAGCAGAAAAAGAGGGCAGGCAGCTCTTCGTCTTGCGTGGTATGCAACCTTACATCCGTCATTTTATTTCTTTAAATGTGTTTTGCTGTTTGAAAAATGTTTTCATATTCGATGACAAAAATGACAAGAAGGGAGGAAACTCAAAACCAGATATGCGCCATATTTTTTAAACTTTCATAGTCAACCGTTTGTAGAAAATTGCATGAATATAGCCTGCATAAGTTTACGAGAATGATTTTGTTTGGTTTGCGTTTTTATTTTGAATTTTCCGAAAAAAATTACTTTTGTGTGAAACATTTCACTTTTAATGAATCACGCAACGTACATCAACTGGAAGCACGTGACCTACCTTAAAACGCTGTGTTGATACCTTCTGTAGTTTGCTCATTTTTGGGACTTAAGTGAAGAATAACGTGAATTTTCGAAAAATTGCCATATAATCCTAGTTATCCAAGATATCCATCAAATCTCGAAAATGTCCCGAGCAGTGGCGGATTTACAAATTTTCAAGGTATAGGCTGAATAGTTTTTGCCGCCCTTGCCTCAACAATTCTGCCGTGCTTAATGAAAACGCCGTAACCAACAATTTTGCGATTTTTGGTACGGCATTTTCTACTAGAACAATTCATCCTGCGTCTATCCCCGGTACTCAAAAAACCGTATATATATATAGATACGGTTTTTTGAGTACCGGGGATAGACGCAGGATGAATTTTTCGAGTAGAAAATGCCGTAAACCAAAAATCGCAAAATTGTTGGTTACGGCGTTTTCATTAAGCACGGCAGAATTGTCATATACATTATTTTTACAATGCAACAATTTCGTTGAAATTGCACGTAAAATAATTTTTCGGTATATTTTTGAGCTAATCGAAGCTCAATCATGTATGGGCGGGGTAATGTATTAATTATTGACATTATGTATTGTTAGGAAGTAAAAATAGTTGTATCTGGTTCTTAATAAATATAAATGTTTTAGATATATTATTACAAATCCGCATAAAACAGCACAATAATTGCAAACAATGAAAATGGTGACTAACGTATGAATGTATACTAGGTTGCCTAATTTTGTGATTTTTAACATGCGCGAATAAAGATCGAACAGACCTTGTTGTGTGGATTGTGGGGTAACCCACACGGTTATTGGAATAGAGAATGAAGCTCGCCAGTGGCGAGTCGCCACGTGCACGTGCAACATTGACGTCATTGATAACATTGTAGCATTAAAAAAATACCGCGTTCGGGGAAAAAATATTTTTTTGACTTAAGACTATCTCGCTATTACTGTTCAAGATTTTTTTTGAATTCCAATCGAATTTTCTGAAGCTACTATAGTGCATGTGAAACACATAATAGTCGATACATAAAATTGAAATCGGTAAAATTATTCACTAAATTATTCATTATATTCGAATAAAAATCGAAAAATTATATACAAACATCCAGTTCGTAGCCTCCAACCAGTAGTAAGACTGGCATGTATTGGTTGTTAGTGGGAAGAGGGGCATATTTTTTACAATTTCGCTCTTTTCACTCATAAGAAGTGTGGGCAAAGGGCGCAGAGGCGAGAGGCCGATTACTGGTTGAGGGGCGGCGAACTAGCTGTTTTACTCTAGGATATGGAAGTTTGCTACTCTCGGAATGTGCAATGACAAGTGAGAGATAAAAGTCATCGACAAAATTTGTTGCAGACTTCTATCTGTAAGACATCAGAAAACCGTTATAGAAAAATCTTTTTGATTTCTATGAGGTAAAAAAAATCGTTCCCTAAATTTGCCGCCCCCAAAATCTGCCGCCCTAGGCTCGAGCCTACTCAGCCTGCTGGTAAATCCGCCACTGGTCCCGAGGGATTACCTGTTATTGGGAAGGGGTATTATGACTAGCAAGATCAACTGCCCTGTGAATGGTGATTTGGAATATTGGAAAAAACATCTATTTTTTTAACACCCTGTAGTATAATGCTATGTGCACAATATCGTATTCCCAAAATTAGACGTGAGTCAAAGAATCCACTATTGCTCAATTTTTGGACAACTGGGGAAAACGACAATTTTCGAAAAATTGTCATATAATCGTAGTTAGCCAAGATATCCACAAAATCTCGAAAACGTCCCGAGGGATTACCTAACTGTTATTAGGAAGGGGCATTAGGACTATCAAGCTCAACTGCCCTATGAATGGGGATTCGGAATTTTGGAAAAAAACATTTATTTTTTTAACACCCTGTAGTATAATGCTATGTGCACAATATCTTATTCTCAAAATTAGATGGAAGTCAAAGAATCCACTATTGCTCATTTTTTGGACTAAACTGGGAAATAACGACAATTTTCGAAAAATTGGCATATAATCGTAGTAAGCCTCGATATTCACAAAATCTCGAAAACTTTCCGAGGGATTACCTTACTTATATTAGGGAGGGGTACTACGACTATCAAACTTAACTGCCTCATGAAATGGGAATAACTTGAAATTTCGGAAAAAATACATCTCTTCGTTTAACACCCTGTAGTATAATGCTATGTGCAAAATATCGTATTCCCAAAGTTAGACATAAGACTCAAAGAATCTGCTATTCAGGATTTTCAAAATCGATTCAGTAATTTTCCAATAACGAGCTTTCAAATATTTTCCAAAAAACTAGGTGCGTCGATTTTTATGACGAGCAGTTTATATATATATATATATATATATATATATATATATATATATATATCGATGCCTGTTAAGTTGTCACTTCCGTAGTATAAACAAGGCGTCCTAACTTCCACATGAACGAAGGCTTATACAAGCATTTTAAAACTATATATAAGTGAAGGGGAACCTACGTAATCCGAATCTCTAGAGAGGGGAAAGGATTTCGCAAATAAATATTTGTGTACTTTGGCCGTGACTTAGTCACTTCCATCATATATAAGGTGCTTTCCTTTCATTTTTGAAGTGAGCCAAGCAAAAGTGAGATAAGCGAGGCCACTTACGCGCACTCATCTTACCTAAAATAGACCAAAGGAACGGTTGGTAAGCCTATTTTCTCTAAAAGTGACACTTGACAGTTTAACCCTTAAGCCTGAATTATAGATTGCCTTCCTTTCTTCCTCCCGTAGTCGTGCCCGTACGGTACGGGAATCTATAACTGGCAATACGATTTAAATAAACATTTTTGACGTAATTGTCAGCATTAACATTGCCCGTTATTAATTTTAATTAAACTTAACAATTATTGATAATTTAAAATATTAAAATTACTTAAAAATATGATTTTGTTAAGAAAATATTTTATTCTTTGATTTTTTTTATTACTATAATTGCAAAATTTTATCACAAAGTATTAAAAATACCTAAACGGGAAATGTTAATGGTGACAATTACGTAATGTTCATCTTCTACGGGAGGAAGGAAGGAAGGAAGGAAAGCAATTTATAATTCAGGCTTTATGTTCTGTGGTTTAACCATTTCCCTCAACGGTTTAACGCAAAGATTAAAGACTTAACGAACAAAATGTCGAATCAAATAATACAGGTAGTTAAAAATATAAATAAATATAAATAAAATATAAATATAAACAATAATAAATACCTTTTTTTTCTTTAATTAATTAAACAATAATAAATACCTTTTTTTTTCTTTAATTTTATAGAATGTAGTGAATGTAATATTCAGCA